CGTAGTTGTAAGAATTATGATTGTTCTTATTCTATTTTAGTTAGTTTACTTATAATTTTTGTTCATAGTTTTGAAATTCAAAGGAGTTGTAAGAATTATATAAGTACTTAGTATATGCTCTTCTTAATCTCAGCCATGTCTCCATGCTGCACAATGATAATCATATTTATTAGGCAGTGAGGATGTTAGGTTATTTTAGTTAGGTATGTATAGTTTGAGTGTCTTTCTTTAATTAATAATGTATGTCTACATAAATAGTTTGAAATAGGTTAGTAGATGATCAGTAACTTGTTAGTTTGAATAATTTCGAATTATTTTAAGGCCGATCTGATAACATAGTATGAATTCATCTATCATGAATTTAGAACATGCATTTTTGTAAAAATATATTAATTATTATGACAAAACTTAATTACGTTAGCATTGCAGGATGAACTCAACCGTTGTTATGTTGATGTTAATATATGAGAGTCAGTTTTATGTCATTTCCAATATGAGGGTCACCTCTTATTGATTATGAGGTGTGTTTTATTGTTCTACATCATTGCCAACATGCAATTTGTGGTAATTTATGTTGAAATTGAGAGTTCTAGTGTTGCACTGTCAAAGATGAGTGTATTGACAACCACCCTAGTGGATCAATGTAATTCATTAAGCCATGCTGAAATGCTGATTTGTAGTTCAACAATGCATGTAGAAGATCTTCTTAATACCCTATAAATTTGACCTTTTTAACCTATTATTATTAATTTATAAGTTTGATGATAGTGACTTAGTGTAAAGGTTTTATTATGATTGCACTAATATTTAGTTTCTCAGTGGACACGCTGTTTTGATGTTGGAGGGCCCTAGTTACTATATTCAACCAGTAATGAGCCCCGAGCTTTTGTTAGAGAATCTAAACTTAGTCAATGAAGGGTACGAAATAATGAACAATGAGTCAATTGACGGGTCTTCTAATTCAGATGAAAGAAGTGAAGGAGAGTTCTGAGAGGTGCAGATTTTACTATAGGATTGTTGGGGAGCAACTAGTGACACTATAGTTCTAATGGTTAGCACAAATAACTTTGTGAGGAGGTGCCAGAATGCAAAGGAATGGGATAGCAGTCTTGTCTTTGATGTTGCTATAGATAGTGAGATTGTTACACATGAACAATATATTCCCGAGAAAATTATTGAGGGCATGTTTTGAAACGAAGAGAGGGTTGTAGTTTGCCCTTTATAGTTTGTTAATCATGAACAATATTGAGTTTTAAGTCATTTTATCAAATATAAAGAAATATACAATATGTTGTTTGCATTACAAAACTATGAATAGGCCTGACCAGTAGCATCATTTTGCCAGTTCATACAAGTGCTTAGGTGGCACATGGAAGGTATTATCTGCTAGGTATGATCACACTTGCACCAATCCCATTCTTCTTGCAGGACAAAGAGTGTAAGTCAAGATTCATAAGCTATTTCATCTAACCAATTGTGCGATAACAAATTGATATAAAGGCCCATGAAATAATTGGTAGGATTGAGTGAAAGTTTAATATTAGGGTGTCTTACATGAAGGCTTGGGATGCCAAAAGAAATGCTATTAAATCTATTTTTTGTAGTTGGGAAGAATCATATTGTACTCTCAATTTTTTTGATGGAAGCAATGATCTCTTCCATTCCATGAATAATGTATAGGTTACATTGCACAGACAGACACATATTTGAAAGGCTTTTTGGGCATTTGGTCCTTGCATCTCCAGTCGGGCTTACTGCCAACCAGTCCTTAGCCTTGATTGTACTTTCTTACTTGGAAAGTATTGTGGTACTTTGCTCACTATTGTTGGAACTAATGCGAATAATGGTCTATTTCATTTGACTTTTGATGTAGTTGAGTTATAGTCTACTGCGTCTTGGACATGGTTTCTCCAATGCTTATCTGAACTACTCAGAAATATAGACTCCATAAAAGAACTAAGCATTATATCAGATGGGCATGCTTGTTTTATTCGTGGGTTTAGTGATATATTTCACATGGTGGCACACCATACATGTTAAAGATATTTATGCAAGAACTTCAAGAATGCAACAGGGTGTATGGAGGTTCTGGATGTTGAATTTTTATTCCAAAAGATGTATTTTGATGGCAATATGAACGACTTACGGATATTTCATCGTCACATGAGGGATATAAAAAATATGAAGGTTGGGGCATATTAATGGTTTCTCGATCGTGACTTTATGTGGTGGGCATTGACACATAATGGTGGCTATTAGTTTGCAATAATGACCACAAATGCTTCTGAACCGTTTAATGGAGTGCTGAAGTGTGCTAGAGGGATGCCAATATATGCCCTTATACTAGTTATACTATATAATGTTGTTGGGATATTCATGATATGACTACAGCCCGTTGGATCTGAATTAGTTGAGTCTAACAATATTGTGTTCATGGAAAAGGTTGAAGCTATCTTACAAATATTTGAACAAGAAGCTAGAAGGCTGGTGGAACCAACCATGATCAATTTACTTGAATTTCAAGTACTCAACATGACCAACATATCATACAAGGTCGAGTTTAAGGAGAATTGTGTTTGTATTTGCAGTTGTGGATGCCCTACAATTTATCACTTTTCATGTCCACATGTTATAAGTTATTTATCAACAATGCGACAAAATCACTACGATTACATCTCATACTACTACATTATTCACAACTACATACACACCTACTTAGTGATAAGGCTGATTGGCCACCACATGACCCAAGAATGGGTTTGATCCCAACCATGCCTCATACTTGTAGGAGACATTCAGGAAGGCCTCACACTAAAAACTTTAAAAATATAATGGATGAGTGTATAAACAGTGGCTGAAGGATGTGTAACCTATGCAAAAGATGTAGCACAACAAAAGTACTTGTCCCCTTAACAGGTATGAACTATTATCACATATTCCAAACCATCAAAACTCTTAAGTTTGTTACTAATGTTGGGTTCAATGTTTATAAAACACAATCAATGTTGGGGCGGACGACACGTCGAAGACGTTATATTCCCATTAAATCTAGTTTTTGTAGAGCCTGAATTCTATTTAAATTTCTCAATGTATTGGTAGTTCACTTTTTATATGAGCATTCTAATCATGTTGTTCCTACTAGAAATTTTCAAACCGGTTAAATTGTTGTTGGAGCCAACTTTTCTTTATTGAACTCAACCATACTTCAGAATTTTCATGATTTTCAAATAAATTTATTTCATATATTTGAGTTATTACACACAACATGAATCCAAATTGATTTTGAGAGACATTAGTATCATGATGCAACCTATGTTTCATAACTCTCTCACATAATTTTAAAGTATGACACATCAACTTAATTCTTCTATAATTCACACAATTTTATGCATCACCATTATTCATAAAAATAGGAATCAACACACTTATTCTCCACTCATTTGACATCTTTTTAGTCTTCAGAATAAAATTAAAATGTTTAGTAAGACAAGAAATTCTTTCATCTCCTAAGCATTTCCAAACCTCTATTGGAATATCATCAGGTCCAACAGCTTTTCCACACTTAATTTTTTTTAAAGCCACTATAACTTCGGTTTTACTAATACGCCGATAAAAACAAAAAAAATTTATTTTCATTTAAGATGCTAAGGTCACTAAGTAATCACATTCTCATAATGTTCAGTAAAGAGTTTATAAAAATATATCATCCATTTTTGTTGAATATCCTCTTCTAATAAAAGCACTTTTTGATCTTCATCCTTAATACACTTCACTTGAACTAAATCCTTACTACTCTTATCTCAATGTTTGACTAACTTATTCATATCTATTTCTCTCTCATTAGCATCTAATATATTATATAAATCATTAAAATCTAAAATCTTTGCATCCTATATTACTGTCTTAGACTCCTTACGGGTCTCTTTATATATTTATCAATTATCAGATTTTTTACATCTAAATCAATTTTTATAATAAATTTACTTATTTTTTTTATTTTTTTTTTTGCACAGTTTGATTTTACCACCAATTATTTTTACTATTATGAGCTTTTTTCTTTGATACTAAAAGTACATCTTTTTATAATATTCTTAATATCACTAGTCATTTTTTCTCACATAACATAAGCTTCCTCATACACAAACAAAAATTTAAGATCTAGTATCTTACTCTCAAAAAATAGAACTCATACATCATTTCAAAAAAATTCTACAATTTATAATTCTCTAAATAAATTGATTTAGGTTTATGATTTAATGTTAAAACATCAATTATGTTGAGCAAATGTGATAACAAAATAATATATCAATAGTCAAATGTATCTTTATCACTTGCTTCATATTTAATTAATAAAATAATAGAATGAAATATTCAAATATCAAATTAATTTAGTTTGTCCAAAGTAAAATTCTTGATTAATATAGTAATTAGATGACAATCAGAATTTTTTAACAAATATAGCATAAATTTATTTTATTTTAATGTATATTTAAAGTTTTTTAATATTATGCAAAATTTAGGTTATGCAACATTATTTATCCTTTTTTATAAATATATAATGTAAATATGATATTGTTAAAATTATAGAACATGAGAGTATAAATTTAATATAATATGAAAGCTAATGCCGCTCTTCTCTGTCTTGTTCCAGCTCAAGTCCGAGGCTTCTCTGGCCAGCTTTCTTCCTCCGCAGTCTCTGTTCACGGCCTGCTCTGTTTTTTTCTTGACCTACTTTTCAATTTCCTCTCACGTGCTGCTCCTCGCAACCGAAGAGGGGGCATTCATCTTGACTGAGGAGAAGAAGGAAGAATAAGACTAAAATCTACGGCCATTAGCACGCTCTCGTGGTCTTTCAAAACTTCTGAGGTCCAAATCGGTGGCGGAGCGGAACTGCTACCTTTGCTTTTGTCCACCGGTAATAGGGCATCTTTTCTCGTGCCATTGATGGGTACTTTATAGCGAGATACCGAGCTTTCCATTTCACCACCTTGTGCTTTTAGACTGAGAGAGGGAGGAGCGGATTTGGAGTAAGAGAGATGTCGAAGGGATCAATAGAGAAGCTGGCTTCGATCGACGCGCAGTTGCGGCTACTTGCGCCAGGAAAAGTTTCGGAGGATGACAAGCTTGTGGAGTATGATGCGCTTCTTCTCGATCGCTTCCTCGATATCCTTCAGGATTTACATGGGGAGGTCCTTAGAGAGACGGTAAATGTTTATTTCAACCTGAAGCCATACCAGTTGCAGTGAGAGTTTGTCTCTGCGTTTTTTTGTTTTATTTTATTTGTCCCTTAAAGATGACTTAATTTTGCTATGGATGTTCTGATTAAAATCCCTACATTCCTTAAGGTTATGATTCATCTCCTTTATTTTCCTGTTTATTTGACCAATTGTTGTTTCATTTTTCAGTTCTTCGATCTAAATAATTCGAAGAGTAACTTCAATTGGTATTAATTTCTTTTACAGTTGATCATGCTATGCTGATGTTATGCAGCATACAGCGCCAAAACACTGATTTGGACGTCTTTTAATCTTCTCAGTTGGAAATTTGTTGTTCTTGATTTTGTTTAAGATAAATTATCAAACTTTATTAGCTTTAGTTATAGTGAAATGGGCTGCATGGTTTCAATTTTTTTTGTTAGCAATCATTAATTTTTTGTGAGTTCTGCACACATTTTCATTGGCAACATTACCAGCAAATGAACCTATTTGCTTAGATTTGTTGCAGATATACTGTAACGAAAATGCAGACTGCTCAGAAGGCATAATGTGGCTTATATTGTATGTTTTTAGGTGCAAGAGTGCTATGAACTGTCTGCTGAATATGAGAGCAAGCATGATTCAAAAAAGCTTGAGGAGTTGGGGGATGTGTTGACAAGCTTGGACCCTGGGGACTCCATTGTCGTCGCCAGTTCGTTCTCTCATATGCTTAATCTGGCAAACTTGGCAGAGGAGGTCCAAATAGCATGTCGTAGGAGGATTAAATTCAAGAAGGGAGATTTTATTGATGAGGCTTCTGCCACTACTGAGTCTGACATTGAAGAGACCTTCAAAAAACTAGTTGGACAACTTAAAAAGTCCCCGCAGGAGGTTTTCGATGCTCTTAAAAATCAGACCGTTGACTTGGTTCTTACCGCACATCCTACGCAGTCGGTGAGAAGATCTCTGCTTCAGAAGCATGGGAGGTGTGTAGATTGGTAGTTTGATCTTTTTGCACAATTAAGAGCATGGTTCATTGTGAAACTCATGTAACTGGATAAGAAGTCTTCATGATTAGAATTACCATTTAACATGTTAATTTGATGGTAGTGAGGGTAACTTTTTCTGTTCAATTGTTCCTCCTCTTTTTACTCCAGTAATTATACCGTGGTTTTAACTAATTAAATTTGTGCACCAATTCTCACTCAGGATAAGGAACTATTTAGCTCAGTTATATGCCAAAGACATTACCCTTAATGACAAACAGGAGCTTGATGAGGCTCTCCATAGAGAGGTAAAGCCTTCTTTTTTTTATCCTGAAGGAGATCTTTTCTTGTTGAATAAGTGCATGATTCTTGTAGACATTGGCTTGCCTTTTTCTGAAATTTGACTGTTTGAGATATTGATAAATATTTATTTGTCATCGTCAATGAAAGCAATGTTTTAAAAGGTGAAATCGGGAATCGAGGCGTTTTGTCTAAGCGAGGCGAGGCGTAAGCCTCGAGGCGGATCGAGGCGGAAGCCTCAAAATGGTAAAAATAAGATAATGTAAAATTATAAATAATGATAAAAATGACAAAATATTAAGTCAATTATGAACTTGAAAGAATATCGTTGATGTTTATATTTGAAAAGGAAAATCCTTTCATAATATGTAATTTATATTAATTAGGATAATTATATTAATATTTAATTAATAATTATATTACTAATTAGCCAATTAAGTTAAATTATATAATTAATTTATGCACTAATTATACTATTAATTATTTAATTAATTTTCTTAATTATTAATATTTTAAATTAATAATAACTTAGCCGCATCTAGGGTTTGCCTTTCATCTTCTCTTTTCGTCCTTGCTGTTCGGCTTCGTTGCTTCACAGGACGTGTAGAGATTGCACACGTCCCTTCTTTGGCTCCTTCGTGGTGTTTGACTTCGCTCCTTCGACGACTTGCCCTTCCTGTCGGATCATAAGTTACGACATTTTGATCGGAAGAAACAACGGGAGCTCGCTGGCAGTGAAGGTAACTTTCTCCCTTTCGAGGCGTTGCCTTGATGCGCCTCGGCGCCTCACGCCTTGAGGCGTACACCTCTGTGGAAAAAGGTGTAAGCCTCGCCCGAACGTTCGAGGCTTAAGCCTCAGTTTGCCCGACCTCCGCCTCAATGCCAGCTCTCATTGCATAGGCTTTGAGGCTTCAAAGTTTAAAATTGTGCTGAGAAGCGCCTCTTATTGCGCAATTTTAAACCATGTTGCACATCATACACATATAAAAGAGGTTAGAGGTTAAAGCTCACAAGAGGTGTAAGAATTTTTATGTAAAAAAAAAAGACATGGGGTGTAGCCCAACAATAATCCACTATGTAGCTCGACATTAGTCGGTTCCTCCTTTATAAGAGAGAGAGAGAGAGAGGGGAGACGAAATAGGAGAAGGAAAACGAGAGTGAGAGGAGCTGAGCAGTGCAAGAGACATAGTGTGCGACTGAGAGTGAGAGATTGGTCAAGGAAGAGCGAGTGATAGAGCTTGCAAGCGAGAGCGAAGGAGGGTGATGGTGAGTGGACGAGAAGGGAAGATCAAGACTAGTGACATCAATTGAATGACAAGGGACGCCGCACACCATGGAGCGGAAACCTTCACTTCACGAGAGTGATCGAGCAGGAACAAGCAAGTAACTGCATGACATGGATGCTATTTGGATGCACGATTTGAGTAGGATTTAAGCATGATTAAGCCTAAATCCTACCAAACAACAAAAATGATAAGTTTATAAATCTCATTCCTTCTCCATTGTGCCTTAGGGCGATCAAGTCATTAATAAGAGTACTCGTTTTAGATATCTTGGATTTATTGTTCAGAGTGATGGTGAAATAGATGGGAATATTATCAGCAGAATTCAAGTTGGATGGTTGAAGTGGAGGAATGCATCAGGCTTGTTGTGCGATAGAAAAGTCCCCTTCAAACTTAAGGGAAAATTCTATAAGATGGTGGTGAGACCTGCAATGCTTTATGGTGTCAAATATTGGCCATTAAAAGAGAAGCATAATACTAAGTTAAGTGTTGTAGAGATGAGGATGCTTAGGTGGATGAGTGGCTTTACCCTTAGAGATAGAATACGAAATGAGCATATATGTGAAAAGGTTGGAGTAACTCCAGTGGAAGATAAGATTAGAGAGAGTCGCCTTAGGTGGTTTGGTCACATTAAACGGAGGCCTTTCGATGATCCGATTAGGAAAGTTGAGGTATTATATTTGACTCATGTTAAGAAAGGTAGAGGTAGACCTAAAAAGACTTGGTTAGAAAATATTAGAAATGATCTTTCTTTATTAGATTTATGTGAGAATTTAATTTTTAACATGACACAATGGCGAAAAGGATTCATGTAGTTGATCCCACTTAGTGGGACAAAGGCTTGATGTTATTATTGTGGTTGCTTCTCCATTGTGCCTTAAATCCTGGATTTAAAAAGTCCAATAGTTTGGTGGATTTACAGGTTTTAGCCCAAGAAGCGCGTGAAAAAGAGAAAGATCGTTGACTTTTGCGGCAAGCTCCCATCACGACTTCTAATCCAACAGGAATAACGTCATCACCACAAGAGGTGAAGAAGCTTCATTTAACAACTCTTTCAAAACACGTGAAGCCGAAGCAGCAACGAAGAAGGACAATGATGAAAAGCAAATCCTAGACAGGCCTAGGGCTCTAGGAACAGCATTGAAAAACCAAAGAAAAGATAAATTATAGAATAGACCTGCAATGGTGGAGAGGAATACCGTCAAATCTTGTCCCTTTTGCTTCTGTCAGTTTTTCTTATTTTTGTTTTTTTTTTAACTTGCTGATTAAAGTAATAGTATATCGCGAGGGTGGAACTTAGTAATATGAGGAGTATTTAAATATGTGAGTTAGAAAAGTCAAAAAATTTAATAAGATATTGATATTCATGTGCATAAGGGTAGATAGATTAAGTTTTAATAGAGCTCAATGATGAATTCAATTCAATAAAAATTATGAAATTTAATTTATGAAAAAATTTATTTTTATGTAACAAAACTTAATTAAAAATGATAAAATGATTAAAATTGTCCTTTGATATTTTATGAAGGACCAAAATGGTCCTCAATTACATTAAATGAAAATTTTGGTTCCTCAAGTCCTTAAAGAGGACTCAAAATAGTCTCATGACGGTATTATTTTGATTCTTCTTTAAAGATTTGAGAGGACAAATTTGTTCTTTAATATAATTGAGGACCATTTTGATCCTTCATAAAAAGTCAAGGTACCATTTTGATCATTTCTTATTAAAAATAATAATTTTAAAATTAAATGAAAACTTAAAAGAACAAAGTAAAGAAAAATATAAATGTTTATTTATACTTAAATCTACACTACGATGAAAAGTTATGTTAAGCCTTGTTTAAGTGTTTGCCAAATCAAAATTTTACTACTCTTTCTCTTTCATTGTTGTGAAATGTGAACATTCAAATAAAAAAAAGATAGTTGTACTAATGTGGACCGTGAGACAAAATAGGATACTTTTTTTCTTAGTTACTTGACTGGAATTAAAGTGGTGGTGGGACCTGCAAGGCTTTATGACATAGAATATTGGAAATTAAAAGAGAAGCATAAAATTAAGTTAAGTTTTGCAAAGATGAGAATGCTCAGGTGAATGAGTGGCTTTACATTTAGGGATAAAATGCAAAATGAGTAAATACATAAAAAGGTTGGAGTAGCTCCAGTGACAGATAAGATTAGAGAGAGTTGTCTTAGAGGACATAATGGACAAACAAGATTCTTGTAGCCAACCCTACGGAGTGGGATAAAAGCTTTTTCTTCTTGTTGTAGTACTTGACTGGGATTACACCTAAAATAGCAGAACTAGGAAAATAGTTGTCTTCTCTAACAGGTTTCTCTCTCTCTCTCTCTCTCTCTCTCTCTCTCTCTCTCTCTTTCTATATATATATATATAAGAGTATTTTTATTTTTGAAACGTACCATTCAGAAATGATCTTTGCTTGTTTATAATTGCATGAATATTGAAAACGTTTTACTTGGGGTACTCTTACCTTTTTTTGAAATTTCTATGTTGGTTTTTTTTTTCTCTTAGATTCAAGCTGCCTTTAGAACGGATGAAATACGGAGAACTCCTCCAACACCTCAAGATGAGATGCGGGCAGGGATGAGCTATTTCTATGAGACTATATGGAAAGGTGTTCCTAAGTTCCTACGCCGGGTAGATACAGCTCTGAAAAACATTGGGATAAATGAACGTGTTCCATACAATGCTCCTCTTATTCAGTTTTCTTCTTGGATGGGTGGGGATCGTGATGGTAAGATGATAATATTGTTTATGGTACAGAACTATGTCTTATTATTGCTATTTTCTAAGGATGAAAGCAGCAAATTCAGAAGTGGAAATTATGTTTTAAGATATGCCGCTGCAAGGGCCTAATTTTTCTTATTAGCTCTCTTTAGCTATTAAATTTGTTTTCATCATCATGATCATCATCACTACTAGCCTTATTCCAACTATTTGGTGTAGGTTTTATGATTCCTTTTGTTGTATGCTAGTTTATGAAATCTCTTTCGCTACTTCTACTCAAGATCCTTTTTGTTTGAATTTGATCCTTTTTCATAATCATTCTATCTATATGCTTTATTGATGTGTTTTGTGCCATCCATTATGCATACCCAAAGCATATAATCTTTTTTTTTTCACTATCTTTATTTCCAGTAGTGTTACACATTAGTTCTCTATCATAATAAATTTTCACTCCATACTTCCAGGTTTTAACCAAAATCCAATTTAAAATCCTCATTTTTGTACGTTCAAGTTTGTTGTTTGTGGCTTCTTTTTCGGCTAACACTCTGACCCATAAAATATAGTTGCTATAATTGTAAGTTAAAAAAAATATTTAAGTTTACTCTCTTATTGTAAAAGACTCTTAAGGCACTTCTCAATTTTACCGTCTGATTTTATCTTTGAAATGCAGCTCCTCATTTGTGCATATTCTGTTTAGTATGCATTTCTCATAGCTATATTTGATTGCTTTTCAATTCTGTGAGGTTCTTGTACATGAAGAATGATCAAATTTGATTAATGTTAAAGATGAAACAGCTTTGTTCTACATAGAGAATGATCAGGTTTGATTAATGCTAATATGGAATGGTTTTCATGTCATTCAGTTATTGTCAAATTGTTGATTTGAAAAATCTGAATTGTCTTATCATTGAAATTTTTTGTTTTTGTTGCAATGATTTTTTTTTTTTTGGGTGTGTTTCTTATGAAGTGATGAATAAACTTCATCATGAGCAATTCTCGATGGTTTGACCCACCATTGCAGAGAAGTCCAGGATCCCGATACTAGGAATGCTTTTGCTGAGAAATATAATCATGTTAGTTTTCATGTGATAGGCTCTAATCTGCTGAGAGAAAGACAACTTCTAAGTGAAGCCATGAGTCATATTTTTAAATGAAATATGTAGGCTACTTCTAAATGGAAGCAATAAGACCTACCTTAATCAATGCATTAGGGGAATTTTTGATGAAGTAATCAACCCTAAATCAAATTCAAAATTAAACAAATTATGAGGCAACTTCCAATGGAAATAATAAGCCTTACTATTAACAAAGCCATTAGGGTGCTTCTAAATGTAGTATACTATACCCTAAATTAAATTTATAGGCCACTTCTAATAGAAGCAGTAAGATCTATCTCTAAACAAAATACATGCAACTTCTAATAGAAGCAGTAAGCCCCATCCCAAACCAAACTCACAAGAAACTTATAAGTAGAGCAATAAGTCTCATCCTAAATCTAAATCACTGGGCAACTCCGAAGTGGAGTAGTAAGCCCCATCTCAAATCAAATTATCGAGCAACTCCTAAGTAGAGCGGTAAGTCTAATCCTAAACTAAATTATCGGGCAACTCCTAAGTGGAGTTGTAAGCCTCATCCTAAATTAAATTATCGGGCGACTCTTAAGTGGAGTAATAAGCTCCAAAAGAAATAAATTAGCATGCATTCTAACAAATATAAACTCCAAAACTTTACAACAACAAAACCAAAACCAACATCCAACTACTCCAGTCTATTCGAGATCCCTAAGAGGAGACAATCTATGGCTGCTAATCATATTCTCTAGATGCTGCAACCAATGGTTTATTAGTGTTGGTAGATTGAGATATACGATATTCACTGGATGATGAAATTATAGAATCTTGATCGGGTTTACCCCCATTCCCTCATAAACAAGACACTTAAAATTCCAAAGTTATGCTAAAGTGAATCATCCTAAATTGGGAGTTCTCTCCTACGAAGTAGAAGGGGTAATTAACTATGAGGGCTTGCACTCATAAGAAGTAATGACACAGATCTAAATAAACCCCGATATGAACATTGTGGGAAATCTGGTTAATTAAAAATCAATCTACATTAAAGAAAATGAAATTCTAAGCCTAGAAAATGGGGTTCGTGCCTAGCGCCATTTTTCTTGAGTGAACACATTCATTACTATTTTCTACTCCATTACTGGTCTTAACCTTCTACACATGAAAGTTAATAATCTTTCTAAGGCACAATGTCTTGCAGTCTTCCTAAAATCTTAGATTTCTCCTCTCTTTTTGGTTTCATGAAAATAGTTGTACCATTTTGTCTACTTATTCCTTTGCCTTCTATTTGAATTGATTAAATTAAATAATAATAAATCTTATGCTAGTTTCATATAGTAAACCATCGCTATTTATCATAATTGGATTAAATTATAGTATCACTTTTGGATGATTTCTCAGCCAAGTAATTCCTTTTGTAACCACAATTTGGTGTTTCTTATGGGTGACGCAATTGTGAACAATTGCCTATCTCATACTATGATTTAAGCTAGATACAATATTTCACTTTGGAAATCTCTAATATTAGCGAACATTAAATTAGGATTCATTTCATGAATTTGTAAGTTCAATTTTTGCTTGTCAACTTAACATAAAACCTCAACTTCTCATTTGAACTTGGGACCAACGACAATAGTGATAGAGGACTTCTTATAGCATAAGATTTTTAATGCAGATCTAACTTGCAATGAAGAAAACCAAACAAATACATAAATTGTAGTAATCAAAATTTGAAGAACAAAAACTCTTAGTCTTAAACAATTACTTGAGGAAAATCATGCAACAAAATGTAGTGATGTAGTACGTCTTAGATATAAGATTTTTAATGCAGATCTAACTTGCAACAAGGAAATAGAATTCACAAAACAAAAATTGTCAGTCTTAAATAAACACACAAAATTCACAGTGCAAAAACTCTTAGTTTTTAAACAAATACGTCTTAATTTTGATGAAAACTAAAAAACTTATTAGAAATCATTCATATGAAAACTATGATGGTCTTCTACTAGAAATTAAAGCAAAAAATTTAAGATCAAGAAAGCCACACAAACACTAAGAGATTCATGCACTTTTTGAATATAAAATATAATCAAAATTAATTAAACTTCTATCTCTTTTTCAGACTAACAACTACAAATACAAGAAAAATAGAACGGTTTGAATTCAGTATAAAGCAACCATCTTACTTGTACAGAAGATATCCCCTCTAGGAACTTTTCAAGCCTGTCATTTAATCAAAGAATTGGATTTTAAAAGTAGGATTAGCGCATCCAATTAGAAATTTTATTTAGGCAGTAATTAAGTTTTTGACATGTTTTAAACCCTTATTTGTAATTATAAAACAAGCAGAAATTTTCATTTCCTTAGCCTAGTTGCAATGCTAGATTAGGAGGAGCCATGAAAACCAGAGTGCTGAAGACTCGATCCAAGTCATAAGAAGGGAAACATAGCAGCAATGTGCTGCAGACTCGCTTAAATTCCTAAGGGTCAAAAAATAGAAAGCCACAGGAAGAGGGCGCATAAACTATATGAGAGGGTACCAATTAGGAACTTGCAGGAGGGCTTGTAGCCTAACCAAGTAAAATTTGGCTCCAACAACTAGAAGGAAATCTTTGAGGTGTTTTTTATTCTAAAATATGATAGAGAACCAAGTAGAGATCCAACTTCTAATCAAACTTTACATGACAAGTAACATTCAAGGCATTCATTTATAGAATCTTATAAAAAATTAACTATAATAAAATAAACCAAAACAGTTAAATTTAAGAAGAAGCTGAAATTTTATTTTGGTCATCTTAACACATGCATATTCATATTGATGATTGAGACTTTAAGATTTGCATGCTCTGTGTTTTTATAAAGCATTCAATCGTATGGTGTTTTAGTATAAGATAATTAATAAGTTAATTATATGAAGATTACTCACTGTGCAATTGATATAGGAAATCCTAGAGTGACGCCAGAGGTTACCCGTGATGTCTGCCTGTTGGCTAGAATGATGGCTGCAAACTTATATTTCTCTCAGATTGAAGATCTAATGTTTGAGGTATCAAAATTTCAAATGACATATGGTTGCTAGTTTATCTTTCTTTGTGCTACTGTTGTGGTATTTTCATTATATAGATTTCTAATCTTTCTGTGTTATACATTTTCTCCATTTTATTGCAGTTGTCTATGTGGCGCTGCAGTGATGAACTTCGAGTACGAGCTGATGAATTACAACTCTCCTCAAAGAAAGATGCAAAACACTATATAGGTAAGTTATACTTCCGGCCATGCCACATGAATTTGATGGACTGGTCCAGCCGGTCCAACTTGGACTGGCATTTGTGTATGGGAGGTGGAAAGATTTCACCTCCAATATGCTGCCCCCTTTAGGGGTTGGGGTCCAGCAATAAATCTAGGCTTTAATGGGGAATTAAAAAGAAGATTAGGAGGGAATTCAAATTACAAGGGTTATTTGGGTAGTTTACTAAAGGAATTGTATGTTTAAAAAAGTTGGGAGGCTAGGGTTACATTTTTATCTCTGATTTTGGCTGAAAAAGTTAAGGTTCTTGTGTCTTGAGTGGGCTCTAACGGCGTCTCAAAATTTGGGGGAGTCGGATCTTCCTCTCCAATAGAAGGTCTATTGTATCTTGTTGATTTTCTTCATCTAATTTCAATCAAAAGTGCAATTTCTGGTTTTCTCCATCCATGTTCTTTGCAATTCCCTTTTCCCAATTGCTGAAATTAAATTTCAGCAAGTAATTTTTCTGATTTTCTACATGGGTTTCCTATCAGAATAATACTTTTATTTTTTCTTTCTTGCTGGTTAACATAACTTTTTTTTTCTTTGGAATAATATTAAGATTTTATTCAATGTCCGGTATGTCACTGATTTCTTTCATCTTGTATGGAATTTATATTTTTGCGCCCTTTTTCTACGCATTTGTTGAAACTTGAAAAGCTAGATTGTGTTGCACAAAACCATACTAAACAGTTTGCTAAATTGAATTTCCAACTACAATCACTCCCTGCCTAAACACAGAAGCTCACATTCATTCTCAACTGAGTTTGCATGCCTTGTCTTAGCAGGATACATTGGAGTGATTTATAGGATGAAATCTCACAACTTTATTAGTTTGAATAATTTGGAGGGCTGAATTTAAGGAACTAAGGTGTTAAACCATTGATAGAAATTTAGCGTCTAAGCTATTAATAAAACAAATTCCATATTTTATGTAAAACAAGTCTAGTTTGAATTAGTGATTTATGGGACGGCTTTCTTACTGCTTCATAAAGGAGCTTTTTAGTTAAAAAATTAGAATTTTTATGCTAAAAAGCTGCTTTAAGAAGCAGAAAGAAAGTCATCCCAAACGAAACCTTAATGTTTATGTTCAAGCAGCATCTCTTGACTTCGTAGTCACAGGCAAAATTGGAAGTATCTTTCTCTAACTGTCAATCCTGAGATGTTGCATTGAAGTAAAGATTGGAAGTACAGTTAAAAATATTAAAGTGTTTGATGTATTTGTGAAGATGGCTCAGTCTCTATTAGTTGTAAGCCTGCTTTGTGTGATCCAAGTAGAATATGTGCTGAATTGCTGACTGATTCATGCTTCTTTTCTTTTATGCAGAGTTCTGGAAGAAGGTTCCTCCAAATGAGCCATATAGAATTATACTTGGTGATGTGAGAGATAAGCTATACCATACACGAGAGAGAGCCCATCAATTATTGTCTAATGGGATTTCTGATATTCCTGAGGAAGCAACTTTTACCAACGTTGAGCAGGTTCCTTTTCTTTATTTTTGCTTCTGTTTCACTCACTCATTACATCTTTTCGTGCAATAGCTACACGGCAAATTATAAGGTCTGGTCTCCTGTTAGAGAGATACGTTTGGATTTCTCTCTGTCTAAAAGCGCAACTGTTACAATAACTGTGTTTTTACTGTAGACAGAGAGAAATCTTCATGTATCTCTCTGTTAGGTGACCGGACCTAATAGTTTCCTAGCTGCACACATGCATTTTATCTCCAAAGTACAATCTGAATGAGGGGTTATATTGTTACTACGATGGACTTTATCACAGTTCCTGGAACCTTTGGAGCTCTGCTATAGATCACTGTGTGCTTGCGGCGATAGCCCAATTGCTGATGGAAGCCTTCTGGACTTCTTACGCCAAGTTTCTACCTTTGGTCTATCTCTGGTGAGACTAGATATAAGGCAAGAATCTGATAGGCACACTGATGTCATTGATGCCATTACCAGACATCTTGAAATTGGATCCTATCGTGAATGGCCTGAGGAAAAGCGTCAGGAGTGGCTATTATCTGAGCTTGGTGGACGGCGCCCTCTATTTGGCTCCGATCTGCCGGAAACCGAAGAAATTGCCGATGTTTTAGATACATTTCGTGTGATCGCCGAACTTCCCTCTGATAACTTTGGGGCTTATGTCATCTCAATGGCAACTTCTCCATCAGATGTTATGGCTGTGGAGCTGTTGCAGAAGGTGTTCCATGTGAAGAAACCATTGCGAGTAGTGCCACTTTTTGAGAAACTTGCAGATCTTGAAGCAGCCCCTGCTGCGGTGGCTCGACTTTTTTCGATAGATTGGTACAGGGAACGCATAGATGGGAAACAGGAAGTGATGCTTGGATATTCGGATTCCGGTAAGGATGCCGGGCGGCTTTCTGCAGCTTGGCAGCTATACAAAACTCAAGAGGATTTAGTAAAAGTTGCCAAGCAATATGGAGTGAAGCTCACAATGTTCCATGGGCGAGGTGGAACTGTTGGGAGAGGAGGTGGTCCAACTCACCTTGCTATACTGTCTCAGCCACCAGACACAATTCATGGATCGCTCCGAGTTACAGTACAAGGTGAGGTTATCGAGCAATCTTTCGGTGAGGAGCATTTGTGCTTTCGAACGCTACAACGCTTTACGGCTGCGACTCTCGAGCATGGGATGCATCCCCCGATATCTCCCAAGCCCGAGTGGCGTGCATTAATGGATGAAATGGCTATTGTGGCTACAAAGGATTACAGATCCATTGTCTTCCAAGAAGCACATTTCGTCGAATATTTCCGCCTTGTAAGTAAATTCTGTTTTACTGTATGTAACTGCAAAGCTTAAGGTCGTGATATAAAAATCTCTCTCTCTGTTGCTTGATAGGCAACGCCGGAGTTGGAGTATGGTAGAATGAATATTGGAAGCCGGCCGTCGAAAAGGAAACCTAGTGGAGGAATAGAGTCGCTGCGAGCAATCCCATGGATCTTTGCATGGACTCAGACAAGATTTCATCTTCCAGTATGGCTTGGTTTTGGTGCAGCTTTCAAGCATGTCATGGAAAAGGACGTTAGAAATTTCCATGTTCTGAGAGAGATGTACAACGAATGGCCATTTTTTAGGGTCACAATTGATTTGATTGAGATGGTATTCACTAAGGGAAGTCCATGCATTGCTTCTTTATATGATAAACTGCTGGTTTCCAGTGATTTGTTGCCATTTGGAGAGCAACTGAGAGCAAATTATGAAGAGACAAAACGCCTTCTTCTGCAGGTAAATTTCTTAATTCTAGTTGCATTTTTACCTGTAGTTTTAAGTAGTGTAAGATCCTAGTGTTATTCTATTAAAAGAACTGCTTAATTTAGGTTTAGGAATCATGTCTTTAAAGTTTTGAAGAAACTTTTTAACTTCTTTTTAAGGTGATTGTAAGCTATTATAGGAAAATAACTTTTTGTAAAACTGCTGTAAAAGAAACTTTCTAGCATAGAAATTTCTTTAAGGCAGTGATAAAATAATAGCTAAACAGAACTGTAATTGAGGTCTAAAAAAACAAAGCAAGAAAAAAAGCTTTCCCAAACAAACCCTTAAAGGTAAAATTCTATGAATTTATAATTGGATTGATTTTATTACTTGAAAGAAGGAAAGATTCAATCAATGATTATATTAGAGGGATGATAAAATTATCATTATTGAAGCTAGATTAGGAAAAATAATAATCTGATTCTATTTGCATCAATAAGATTGCCAAATAAAAACTAGTGTCAGATTGCCAATAATAAAAGGCACATCAAGAACTGTACAAATAGATTTGTATGGAATAAGTTTGAACACCTCATACAATACTCACTAAGACTGATATGAAAATGAGGATTCCTAAAGCTGATTCCGAATAATTGGGATAAATTTTGTATTGTTTCAATGATATTTGAGACAGAAAGATCTCCTACAGGTTGCTGGTCACAAAGATCTTTTAGAAGGGGATCCTTACCTGAAACAGAGACTGAGACTTCGCGATCCCTACATAACAACTCTGAATGTTTGCCAAGCCTACACACTAAAGCGTATTAGAGACCCAAATTCCTCATTTGTCAAAGGAGATACTAAAGGCTAATAAGTCAGCTGCTGAACTGGTGAAGCTCAATCCCACAAGTGAGTATGCGCCTGGGCTGGAAGACACCCTAATTTTGACTATGAAGGGTATAGCTGCTGGTATGCAGAACACTGGTTGAATTGCCTTTACTATGCCAAGGATGATATTGAAAAATATGCATAGATGTGTGATATTTGAATCCACTAGTTCATGTGGTGTTATATGGTTGTATTGAATAAAGATTGGGAGATGCATTATATATATATATATATATATATATTAGAATCCCATTTCCTCACCCAATTTCTTATTATGCTGTCTTGTTCGTCTGTGTTGCGAAAAGAATAAGCAATAAGTTTATTTTTTTAAATAATTAAATTAATTAAAATTTTTTGAGCTGGCTCGCGAGCTCACGAGCCAAGCCTAAACCAGCTCGAGTTTGAGCTCGAGCTCGTGGCTTGATAAGCTCAGCTCGTTAGCGAGTCGAGTTCGAGACCGCTCACGAGCTGGCCCGGCTCACTTACACCCCTAGTTGAAAGTGGTACCTCATTGATGCTATTAGCAAGATGATTCAACAAACTTTGTTTTTTTTTTTTTTTTAATGAATTGCATTCAAACAATTTTGGAAATCAGCTGCCAATTTCTTAGTTCTACAATCAAATCATGGAAAGCCTATCAACTTCCAAATTCTATGTGCAATTCCAAATCAGCTGCCATATTCCAAATTCTATGTGCAATTCAACTTCCAAAAAGTATAGGTGCCATATGTACAACACAGAAAAAAAGCCCCAAAAGTGATGATCATTTTATCTCTAGTTATACTATAATTTGTCCAATTCAAATGTTGTGGAATATTATTTATGTTAATTTTGATATTGAATAATATTGAACTCTACTATAAGTTAGGGAAGTATTGAAGGAATTATGTTGTATGGAAATAAACTTGCATGAGCCATGCAGGGGGACAGCCCAAGCTAGCAGGAACTGACCTAGTGGAGAGTAATGAGATTTCACCCTTAAATAAAAATAAAGACTAGTCGCTGCTTGTCAAATCTTTGAAAGAGCACATCGATGAAATTGAATTTTGACAAATTTCAGTTCAATTCTACCACGCAAACACCCAAAACACACCCAGAAAAGTGAAAAACAACCGTGGTAAAAAATCAAAAGCTAAATCAAACCTGCAATAAAGAAGCATTCGCTTCACTTCATCAAAACAAGCATACATAACATAAGACAGCAACATCAACATCTAAAACGTTGGGCAAAGATGCAGTAGTAATGGTCTCTTTTAAATTAGTAATATGTTAGAGAACAAGGCATTAATGTCCACTGAATACGGCCCTGAGCGTGATAGATAAAAAACTAGCAGAAAAATTACAGAAATGAACCATACCTTCCTGCTTCACCCAGCCATAGATCCCTAATTTTGCAACACCACAAAATTTCCCCGACATATGTTACATATAAAACCATACAGAAGCGGAATTTTTTGGTCGTACCAGAGGAAACCAGCCAAATGGCAAAGGGTTGATCAGTTTAATGAATGCCCCCTTCTTTCCTTTCGCCGGCAATTACCTTAGAAGTAGTATCCTTTGCAGTGTCCTCTACTGTTGTTAAATGAGAAAAAAAAATCAGGTTTAAGAACTCAACATGACTTCTGAAGATCTTATAGAAAGAATCAATCATGCATTATGGCATTTACTGCCACTTCGGTACCAACTCTTTTTTTTGTGTCAAGCCACAGAAAACTGATTTATTGCTGAGAAAGAAGCATTTTGCATTGTTCTAACGTCTAAGGCTTCGGTTGGGATGGCTTTCTTACTGCTTCTTAAAGCAATTTTTTAGTACAAAAATTACTAGAAAGCTTATTTAAGCAGCAGTAAGAAAGCAGTCTCATACGAAGCCTAAGTGATGTACAAAGACTAGAGCAAGAACAAAAATCTATGCAAAACGTCAAGCAGATGGAAATTTCAGCCAAGTTGATTATAATTCTCCCCTGTGAAAGAAAACCACTCATAACAGAGGAGAAAATTAAAACGTAATAAGCATCTCTTAAATGTCCCAGGTGCATAATTTAGTTTGAAGGGACTAAGAGAGATTAAAAACCCTTAAGGCACAGTGATCACATGACTCTTATATTCTCTTGGTCCCTACATCGTAAAACATGGCTTTGGCAAACGGTATATTCATACATTATTATATCCAAATTTAAAAAAAAAAGTTCTTATTTTAGTTCAGGACCAAAGATAAAATCGCCTTTATTGTAAGCCTTTGCCTACTTATTAAAAAATTCTTATTGTAAGCCTTTGCCTACTATTTTTTTCTCTACTCATCATAAATAATCCAAAAAAAAATTTAATAAAGTTCGCACATCTTATCATCAATAAATGTATCCATAATCCTTCTACAACAGAGTGATTTGTACTTCTTCTAGTTTTACAACATTAATCTTAACATTATTTTTTGTACTACACTGATGACCCCTATTTTAGTTCCATAATAAGACATCGGAGCAATGTTAAGTTTGAGTTGATTCACCCTATTTGTAGTACCCTGGGATGCCTCAGGGACTAATCTTGTGATGAAAAACCACTTCACATGCCAAAAGCACCTTCATGTCATCATAAGTTCCAGAAATTACACCTAAAAAACTTCCATTCATAATAAGTTGCATGATTCATAACAATCATAGTCCTAAATAATAAAATAAAACCTCATATAGATTTAATTGAGTCAACTATCCTCCTAAGGAACCAGGCCAAACTGGTTGGATGCCAAGGTTTAAAATTGCGGAATTAGAAGCTGACTCAACACAATAAAATAAAAAAACAATGAGAAGTACGCCTCATGCTTACCAGATGAGGCTTACACATCAGTTGGATGAAATGCGCCACAAGGCAAGCCTCGGTGAAATTTTTACGCAACTTTGAAGAGGCTTAAGAATTGAAAATTAGTATTTTAGCTATTTTAAATTTTAAATTTTAAATTTTTATAAATAATTAAATTTTTACTATACATGAACCAAACCAAATTTGAAAAGAAACACAAAACCTCAAACTCTCAACCCACACGACGCAAAACCTTTACGTCCTTACCCAATCCTATTGTATCTTCATCATAGCTTATTGCCACCGCTTCTCCTTCAATGCTCTTGTCTTGCTGTTGGATACATGTTTTCATAATTTTAATATGAGAGACGAAAAAAATCAATTAACTAGAATGTTGATTTTAATGAAGATCCTCAAAGTGATAAGAGCAAGAGAATTTTAAATTCATAAATTATGACATTAGACTACTTGTTTATGTTGAATTAAGAGTAAGAGAGACTACTTATTTGGCATTAGTTGTAGAATTGAATGAGTTTTAATGGCCTGAATTTGACTTTTTATGATTTTATTTTAATATCTTATTTTGGGTTCGTATGTTACATATTATGTCATACTTGTCATTAATTTATTGGTTTAATTTTGAGGCTCATTTCTTAAAAAGCCTTGAGACTTATGCCTCACCTCATTGAAATAAAACACCTCAATATCCGATTGCGCAATTTCAAACCTTGTTGGATGCAATTAAGTTGGTTGACAAGTCTTGTTCTTGAACCATCTCTAGTTATTTAACGAATATTACATAACATTAACACAACAAAATAAAATTCAAGAAAGATAATAATGACGCTAAACTAATGCAGGTATCAACTACAATTTGTGAGTTAACAATTCAATTATCCTCAGATTATAAAATATGGTAAATCTTAAATCCAAGATCCTTGGCCTCAAACTAAGGTAGCCAGACTAATAGTCCAAGTTGAAATTGATTGAATAAATCAAATACAAATTAAGTCCCTAAATATTACATTTGTCTACTAAGACTTTCCATTGTCTTAAAATATGATACAATTGAAGAGTAGCACGATATTCCTAAGAACAAACTTTTGGAAGGGTTTTCAATCAACAATAAATCATGCAGTGCTAGTTCTTATGCACAAATGCGCATATATAGCAAATCAATTGAGTTCTTGACCAAAGTTATGTGCCCCTCTTGTAGTGGTCTGATTGCCTTCCTCTACATCAACAATGTCTTCTTAAGAAGTCACAAGTACAAAATATGAATACCCTAAAGTCTCTAGTTTTTTTTTTATGATGGGTGGGTGCAACCACCAAAACTTGTAACTGGAGGGAGCAATACCATTATCTCCATCGACTCCAAACATAGAAGGCTCTTCATCACTTACGGTACAATTACCATAAAAATATTGTCACTACACCAAATATATAGAAAAATCCCCACTAAATTCAAATAAACAAGGTCCTTACCACATCAATAATTGATGCAATTATTGAAAGAAAATAATTAGAGGGATTAATTATCACCATCTCCATTAAAAAAAAAAAGCTCCCAAGTTTTTTAAAAAAAGCTTTATGAATCTGCCTCCAAATGGATCATTATCTTTATCTCCAAATCCTTGATATAAAGATTTAAATAAAAAACATAAAATATAAAAGACCCATAAGGTCCACCCCCTAATTATGGGTGTGATCATTATCCATCATTACCGGATGGAACAACACCATTATTCTATGCCTATTTTAAAATTCAAATTCAAAATCTTCATCCCCTAATGATGGTCAAAATCATAACAAATCATAAATAAATGGATTAACAATGTTGTCCATTGCCTTCATAACTAAATATGACATTGAGAGCTCCAACATCCTATTGATGGTGTGCAATAACCAAATACCAAAATTTAAGAGATCATCATGATCACCAATACTCCTGAAATTCAAATGAGGAATAAACCTTTAGAATTCAAAGCCCCCATCAATCAAGCACACTTTTCTAGTGTTGACCTGTATACTAAATCCAAAGGAAACAAAAAAAAAAAAGACTAAAAATCATACCTTGTCCGTCGGATCCTCAAATCCAGCTGAAATCGTGCAGAAATCCCGCTGAAATCCTGTAGCTCGGCGCCGTTGTGTCGCTTCTCCGTGAATTTCGCTCAAACCCCGCTCGAGATTGCTCTGTTGGCGTCGTTAATTACCGCATCAACTGAAGGCTTCGACACACACGACGCTCTCTGCTTCTACTCCCGAAATCCACGAGCTCGTCTCCCGCTCGAACGACTTCCCCGCTCTCTTCTTCTTCCTCATTCGCAAATCCCGTCGCCCTCCTCAAGCCGAACTCCACTGTGCTGAAACCCTCTCCTCTGTCCGACTCCACACAGCAAACCCGACGTCAACTCCGGCCGAACCTCCCTATCTTCCGACCTTACCACTTCAGCCGACCCCTTGTCGTGTCCGTCCAACCTCCGGCAGAGAGAGAAGCCGAGAGAGAGAGAGAGAGAGAGAGAGAGAGAGAGAGAGAGAGCTCCTTATCTGAATATCGTCGCCCTTCTCTTCTCCGAACCGAAGCCGGTCCGACGACAGCCCCCGATAGAGCCTTCCCATCCCGCCTCCTTCCTCCTATCTCCGACCAAAACCGACGACCCGAAGCCTCCTTTGGCGACGCCCCTTTTCTGTCGGGTTTGAAGTCACGGCATTTTGATCGGAGTGAGAACGGGAGCTCACTGTGTGAAGGTAACTCTCTCCCTCACACACTCATTCGGCCAAGTCCCGTAAGCCAGAGAAGAGAGGGATTTCTTTGTTTTTAAATATTATAATTAATTATAATTATTAGAGTTTATAATTAATTATTAATTAAGTAAAATTAATTAATTAATCATTAATTATAATTATTTATTTAATTATAATTAATTATAATTAATTATAACTAATTATTAG